AAAAGGGAAACAAAGAATGTCAAAGCATCTGGGTCAACCACCACCCTACTCAGTTAATGTGCAGTAACTAAGCAATTACTAAGAACGGAAACAACTGACCAAAAAGCAGAGACTATCATATTGAACGGTAACTACTGCCCAGAATTCCTTCTCCTTACTGAATAAGCACAATATATAATTTATACACGCATTTTTTAAGTATGATGCAGTTTTATTTTTAAAAATATATTTAGATGCTTGTGAAGTATCTGGAAGGATATGTAAGAATTGGTAACAGTAGTTATTTTTAAGTGGCGGGGGGATCTGACTCTCCTGATTTTTTTGTACTGAGCATGTATTTCTTTTACAATCAGGAAAATAGGAAAGAGAGAATGTGTGTGAGGGAATGAGAGGATGCAAATAAGGTAGCAGTGTTTATTATTCTGCCTTAGAGGATGCAAAAGACTGCTTGGAAGTCCAGAACCAGTGGCCGCCCAGCCATAAATGAACAATGGCTACACTGCTCAGCTCTTATCCGCCCCCATTATTCCTACCCTTTCTACACACTCCCTGGAACCTTGCATCCACTTTTCCACCCGCCACCCCAACTGCCTGCACACGTATTTTTAATTGAAGGACTACTACATACATGGCAGTAACCTTAAAACAACAGATGTCAAATTTTATCTAACTCAAAATTAAATTCAAAACCTTGAACTGATAACAATTCATGCAGGGCCCTCCCTGGTGACACAGGATTTCCTCAGTGCTAATTAAGCTATCGCCAGTCGCTGTGGCCTAAGCCACAGGGTGCAGCAGACCTCTCCTCTCTCGCCTGCTACTCCCCTCAGCAGTGTTTCAGTAAATCCACCTGTTCTGCTCCCCACTCTGTCTCTGGTGAATCCTCTCACACTACCCCCCGCCCCACACCTCTGGTCTACACCCCAGATCTTGTATGCACAAATAAAATTAAATCTAAAAAAAAAAAAAGGAAATTTCATGTAAACTGTACCAGGCACTGTGATCTCACAGGATTTTGATGATCTTTAAAGTACTAAGTTTATAACCTTAACAACATACCTGTTCTTTCACTTAGTGATTACCTTTCTAGAAAGGTAGTCTATGAAAATAATCCAAAATACAGAAAAAGTTTTAAATTCAAGTAAGTTATTTCTGACAGCAAAAACAGGAAACTAAATAAATAAATGAACTTGATGTTTAACTTCCCAGCAAAATAATGCTGACATATATTAATTTTTCTCAGCAAAAATCCTGCTCCTCACCCAGTGTTCATCTCTATTAGTACCACAATCATCCAATAGTTCAAGTCATGATTCATGACATCATCATTTACTCTTCTTTCACATCCCACATTAAGCTACCATCACAACCTACAGACTCTATTTTTTAAATAAACACAAAATCCTACTACTCATCTTTTGTACTGCCACCGCCTTAGAGCAAGTCACCATCATCTTTTGCTGTAACACTACAATGACCCCTTAACTGGTCTCTTTTTCCACTTCAATACCACTACCAGCTGCTCTCATCACATTCTACTTTTCATATAGTAATTACAGTGGCTTTTTAAAATGAAATTTAGATATATCAGCAAGTTTCCAGGTTTTTTTCCATCACATCTAGATTAAAATCCAAAATCTTTATCATAACCTATAGTGCCTCACATAATCTGATGCTCCAGCTACATCTCAGAATTCTATCTCCAACCTCTCTACTCTGGCCACCCTGGCTTCACTGCAGGTCTAGGACGGCAATAAGCATGTAGCTATCTTTGGACCTTTGCACTGCTGTTCCTTCTACTAGAAATGCTCTTTCCTTAGAACCTGGCAGGGCTCACTCCCTAATTTCTTAGGTTTCTATTTAAATGCTATTTTTTTTAAAGATTTATTTATTTATGCATACAAGAACTGGCGCACAGGCCAGAGGTGTGGGGGGGCGGGGGGCGGTGGTAAGAGATTTCACCAGAGACAGAGTGGGGAACAGAACAGACAGATAGACCGAAATACACTGCTGAGGGGAGCAGCAGGCGAGTCAGGATAGGTCTACTGAGCCATGTGCGTTGCTCCCTGGCCTGCTGGGGGATCGAACTCGTGCTGCAGAGGCTGTGGAAGCTTCATAGGTTGCATCTTAACCCCTTGCATCACCAGGGAGGTCCTAAATGCTATTTTTTCCACAGAAAACTTCCCTTAGAGACCTAACTAAAGTAAGATGTTCTGTTAGTCATTCTCTACACCTGTATCCCAAATCTCACTTTCATCAAGGCACATATTATACGTCAAGGTGCATGCGCACACAGCATGTATTTATCATCATTCTATCTCACAAAAAGGTAAGCTCCATACAACTAAGGTTTTAGTTTGGTCACTACACTAATATTCCCAACACCTACAAGAATGTCTGACACACATTAAAATCTTAATATTTCACAAATGATGAATATTAAATTCTTAAAACAATATACAACTATTTATTATTTAAGAAATGTTTTGAACATTTTGGAAAGGCTAATAATATAATGTGACAAATTAGACCAAAATAACATAGAAACACACGCACAAAAACAAAGGAAACTATACCAAAATATGGTTATAGTAGTTGTCTCCAGAAAGCCCTCAAATTTACTAGAAATTTTCATTTTCTCCTTTTACCTAATCTTAAAAATAATTCAATGGTAAAGGTACATTCTTATGGAAAAAAATTTATTTTAAGAGTAATATTTTGATAGAAATTATGCTGCCCTTAAGCGTAGTACTTTTTTTATTAAGCATTTTTTATTTTCTTATATTGTTGTTTATTTTGTGTGACAGTTGAATTCTCCAGTCCTATGAAGTATCCATAATTCTCCCACCACCAAATTACCCATCAACTATCACCACAGTCCTTTGTGTTCTTACCTCCCCTATTTTGACCCATCTCCCTTTTCCTCCCCTGCTGTATGCCTCAGTTCCTAGCTTACCTGCAAGTTTTGTCTCTTTTTTTTGTTTTGTTTTTTGACCCTTTGTTCGGTTTCCTATATTCCTCCTGTAAGTGAAAACATTCTAATTTTTCTTTTTCCTTCTGACTTATTTCACTGAGCATACTCCCTTCTACTTCCATCCATGTTGCTGTGAATGGCACGAGTTTATCATTTTTTTACTGAAGCTGAACAGCATCAACTGTGTATATATACAACACAGCTTCTTGAGCCATTTGTCTGTTTCGGGGCATTTAGGTTTCCATATCTAGCTATTATAAAAAAGTACTGCGATAAACATAAGCACGCAAGTTTCCTTTGAAATTAATGAAGTTCAGTACGAGGCAAGTTTCCTTTGAAATTCACCATACACTTGAAGTCTCAATGTACTTTAGAATAATCAGTAGCTTCTAACCTAAGAATTCAGTACTATAAGCAAACTCTAACCTAAAATAAGTTTGTACCAGAGAAAAAATTTAAAGGTTCTTTTCAATGTGAACTGAAGATTCCCTATTACTAGAGTGACCAGATTATCATCCAAACTAAATCCATTTTAAGTGCTAATAGAGGGGATGCACAAAGTAATTAACAGGTGCTTGGTGCTTGATTCACAAGTTTATAAACTGACACTTGTTATAGGGAAAACCAGGAAACATGATCATCTTACCCGTTATGTGCATGATAAAGTTCTAAGTCTTTAAAATGAGCTTAAAACTTCCAAAACTCACTGAACTCTACTTCTCCTACAAATCTAATATCCATGCCATACTGGAGTGACTATTAGCCATTCCACTAACCATGCCTCTGAACCTTTACTTCCTAGGAGTCCTTTTCTTCCCTTCCCTGCCTAGAGAAATCCTATACCTTCCAACTCAGTATCACTTCCTCAAAAAAGAGACTTCTTCCTTCTAGCATGTTTGTATCTTTAATCAAAGGTTCTTAATTTGGCATTTATAAATGGCCTGATAGATAGCAGTGAAATGCTGAAGTATATGTAAACACTGGATAGATGTTCTTTTTTGAGAAAGCATTATGGATATTTTCAGATTCTAAAAGCAATTCATAATCCAAAAGGGTAAGAATCACATTTTATCACTTTACAATTATTTACTCATCTTTCTCACTATACTGTGGCTTTAAAGCTCCTTGTCTATATTCCTAGAAATAAACTGTGAAGAACTAAATACTAAAGAGAGATTCTGACTCCCCAATTCTGCTTCAATTCCCACAGGTTCACTTGAAATCTGGTGCTAAATTTATTACCTTCATCATCTAACTTGTAAGTTTCCCTCCACTCATGAATTTGAGTCAATCAATTAACATGAAAAATTAAGTTTCCTCTCATTAAGATAAATAATCTTCCCCCAAACTTTCTGCAATTTTAAATGCTATCAGAAAAGGAAAAAGTAGGGCCTCCCCGGTGGCGCAGCAGGTTGAGCGCAGCGCCATGAAGCTGTCCACAGCCTTTGCAGCGCCATTTCGATTCCCGGCCAGCCAGGGAGATTCCAGCATGCCGCAGCAGACCTCTCCTGTCTTGCCTGCTGCTCCCCTCAGCAGTGCTTTCGGTCCATCTGCCTGTTCTGCTCCCCGCTCTGTCTCTGGTGAATTCTCTCACCCTTCCACACCTCTGGCCTATATCTCAGCTCTTGTGTATTTTAATAAATCTTTAAAAAAAAAAAAATTTAGTTTAAAAATTCAATTTTTAGTGTAAGAAAAAAGTACCCAAAAAGAAAATTAAAACTCAGTGTATTGTAAGAATCACAAAACAAGACCTGAGGTGGATATTTATGGAAAGAGAAAAAAAAAAAGACAGGTTTACAAGCCTCTCTATCGCAACTCAATGTTTGTTTCACTTCCTCTCCTTAAATTAACATGATGGGGGAAAAGGGCTATCCCAACTTCTATTATATACATCTAGTTCTATTCGGGATTTTATTGGACCTTTTGCCACAAATCTATCAAGTGTCAGTCAAGCAAATATCACCTGTAATATCTACAGTTCTCACAAGAAAGCAGACACACAACATAAGCATTCTGCAGTACTTACCGTGCTGTACACAGCAGAGACAGTAGGGGTGAAGATTCTATCCTCAAGAGGTTGCTGCACAGGTCCTCTAGGAATTCTAGAAGAGTGAGTTAAGGATCAGAGAACTCAAAAATCGATTGCCTTAAAAGTAAGAGAAAATTACCTCCACAAAATTCTGTCAATGACCCAAGCTTTGTGAGCCAATTAGCAGGGTTACAGCCTGACTTCTCCACAGAAACTAGAAAACAAAGTATTTCAAATTTCCTAATGTGACTAGATCAATCTCTCCAAAAGTGATTCCCACAATAAACATTCCAAGGAAACTCAAAACAAATGAAATTATACAGTAAACATTCAAAATTTAGGCCCATGATGAGAATCTACCACCTGTACTTTATACAGAAAAAAAGACTAAAGAAGTGTAAGTAGGACAATCAGGGACTAATTTACCACAGTGGAAACTGCTGACCGAAGCCCACTTGCTCTGCTAACATGCAGAATTAGCAAATGATTGTTTCCTTGTTTCTCTACTCCGTATCTACCCGCAAAGCCCCACTCTTGTTTGAAAGAGGCCCTCCAGATCATTTAACTCAAAACATTTCAGCATGTTGTCGGGACATTCTATTAAAAGATAGAAGAGTATCATGTTACTTACTTTCAATATTGAAAGTTTTAAGTTCTTCTGGTAAGATGATATTTTACCTCTTTAAAAAAATGACAACCAAGACTAGCACCTAAAGATCACTAACAATTCTCTCCAGATGGTAAGATTATAGAACTGTATTATGTGCTTTTAGTACAACAAATATAAATTTGTGCGATTTATTTTTTTAATTTTTTTTAGAGATTTATTTATTTATGCATACAAGAGCTGGGGTACAGGCCAGAGATGCGGGGATGGGAGGTGGGGAGGTGAGATGATTCACCAGAGACAGAGTGGGGAACAGAGCAGGCAGACTGACTGAAATACACTGCTGAGGGGAGCAGTGGGTGAGACAGGAGAGGTCTGCTGCACCATGTGGGTAGCGCCCTGGCCGGCCAGGGATGAAACTTGTGCTGCAGACGCTGTGGATCGATTCATAGTGTGGTGCTTAACCCCTTGCGCCACCAGGGAGGCTCCTATTTTTTTAATTCTATATATTTTTTACATCATTAAATTTGTGTAATTTAAATGTATTTTAAAAATAATTATAAACATAGTAAACATGAACTGAAATACAATCCTTCCTTCAACCTAAAAAAAATTTAATGAACCAAGTAAGTGTCAAAACCAATGTTATCTTCATGAAAAAAAATTTTTAAAACTACTTCATATTTCTCATATATTCCTTTTTAACAATGAAAGTGTGGAAGACAAAGTGACAGCTGCAAGTAATGATTTTATATGAATGATAAGTTGCAGAAGTCTGAAAAAATCATTAGAAGTAAATCCTTCAGGGGTCTCCCTGGTGGCACAAGGTGTTAAGCACAGCACTGTGAAGCTATCTGCAGCCTCTGCAGTACCAGTTACATCCCCAGCCAGCCAGGGAGCTACTCACATGGTGCAGCAGACCTCTCCTACTAGTCCACTGCTCCCCTCAGCAGTGTATTTCAGTCAGTCTGCCTGTTCTGCTCCCCACTCTGTCTGGTGAATCCACACACCCTCCACACCTCTGGTCTGTACCCCAGTTCTTATATGCACAAATAATCTTTTTTTTTTTAATAAAAAGGAAGTAAATCCTTCATTTTCAAATAGCAACAATTTACAGTAGCAGCAGATAATGCAGAAAACCAAGGGATCTGGGTTTATGGAACAGTTTTCTCTTTAATTCTTAGTAATAACTGCACATTTTCATATGGCAAAATCCAGTGAGCTATGAACACTTGAAAAGTGTTGAATTCATACTTCAAAAGTATGAATTTTATTGTATGTGACTTACATTTGGAAATAGCTATGTTAGTTCTGACCCATAAAGGTATTATGTCTTTAAAAATTAAAGGAATACAATTTTTTTTTTGTTTTGTTTTGTTTATACATGCACTGGGTACAGTCAGAAGCGCGGGAGGGTGAGAGAATTCACCAGAGCCAGAGCGGGGAGCAGAGCAGGCAGAAAGACTGAAGTACACTGCTGAGGGGAGCAGCGGGCGGCAGGAGAGGTCTGCACGCCATGTGGGACCCTCCTCCGGTGGCCGGGGAGCAGCCGGGGATCGAACTGGCGCTGCAGAGGCTGCGGGCAGCTTCGCAACCCAGCGCTCAACCGCTGCGCCACCAGGGAGGCCCCAAAGGAATACAATTTAAATAAATCAGCATATTTTTAAAATAGCCCCTGTAAAACAAAATGTAACCTAGCTTTAAAAAAGAAATACAGGGTCACCCCTGGTGGCACAGCGGTTGAGCGCTGGGCTGCGAAGCTGCCCGCAGCCTCTGCAGCGCCGGTTCGATTCCCGGCCACCGGCAAGGGACCCATATGGCACAACAGACCTCTCCTGTCTCGCCCAATGCTCCCCTCAGCAGTGTGTTTCGTCAATCTGCCTGTTCTGTTCCCCAAGTCTGGCTCTGGTGAATTCTCTCACCCTCCCGAGCTTCTGACTGTACCCAGTGCTTGTATAAATAAAATAAATCTTTAAAAAAAAAAAAAAAAGAAAGAAAGAAATACATTCTTTTGGCCAGAAATGCCATCTTCAATAAACTGCCAAAATGACCAACTTGTGTTGGGAAAGAGGAGAGGCACCAGGCTATGCTCTCCAGGCCTTTTAGAAAACATGGACTTGTTCTCTGGGCCACACACATGTGCATCTACAAGAAAGACATCAAGGGGGACATGCGCGCCTTTCACAAAAGATGCCCCACATATTACCCCCGCAAAAGTGGAAGCATCTGCAATGTTACCCAGCATGCAATTGGCACTGTTGTAAACACAAAAGTAAAACACAAGATTCTTGCCAAGAGAATTAATGTTCATATTGATCATATTAAGCACTCTTAAGAACGGAGACAGCGTCCTGAAATGGAACTTGTATTTTTAATTTTTGAGTAATCATCACATTTCTTTTCATGTTGGCTGTACCAATTTACAATCCTACCAAGAGTATGAAAGGGTTCCCTTCTTGCACATCCTTTTTACTACTTGTATTTCTTTATAACAGCCATTCCCACAGGTATAAGGTGATATCTCATTTAATTTGCATTTCCCTAGTAAGAAGAGATGATGAACATATTTTAACATGACTGTTAGTCATCTGTAGGTAGTCTAGTCAGATCCTTTGCCCATGTTTTAACTGGGTTGTTTTTGTTGAGTTTTATGAGATCTTTATATATTTATACATATATTATTTATCACTTACATACATTATTATTTATATAGTATATTTATATACATAGTAGTATTGTTTTATATTAATGTTTTGACAGTATTGGATCTCTCCCCTCAGCTGTGGTCACTGCTGCTCACCCACCACCAAAGCACCTGCAGTCCTCCACCATAGGCCACTGTGCTGGCCCCACCTCCGTTCTCACCCCCCCCCTCTGGATGGCACAAATCTAAGGGCAGCTTTTAATGTTGCTTTTAATGTTTGTTTTTGTTTGACCCTTTGTTTGGGTTCTCTATAATCCACATATAAGTAACACCATGTGGTAATTACCTTTCTCTTTCTGGCTTATTTTGCTTAGCATAATCCCTTCTCCATTCATGTTTCTACAAGTGGAAAGTGAGTTTACCTTTTATGATAGCTGAGTAATATTCCACTGGGCAGATATACATCTTCCTGAACCATTCATCTGTTTTGGGGCATTTAAGTTGTTTCCATACTGTGCCAATGGTAAATAGTACTGTATTAAGCAGAATAGCAGGTTTACTTTTGAATGAGTGTTTTGTGTTCACTGAGTAACTAACTAGGTATGGAATTGCTGTGTCATATAGCAAATCCATTTTTAGTCTTTTGAGGAAGCTCCACACTGCTTTCCATAGGGCTGGACCAGTCTACATTGCCACCAACAGTGTTAAGAGGGTTCCTTTTTCTCTACACCCTTACCAGCACTTGTTTCTGGTCTTTCTGTATTCTGGATATTAACTCTTTGTCAGGTACAGGATTTGAAAATATCTTCTCCCATTCAGAAGGATGTTGTTTGTTTTGATGACAGTTTCTCTCACTGTGCAGAAGCTTTTTAGTTTGATGCAATTCCATTTGTTTATTCTCACTTGTTTCCTTAGCCGATAGTGCCAAGTCCCCAAAGACATTTCTAAAGTCATTGTTAAGGTACTTATCACCTATGTTTTCTTCTATGTATTTTGACTTCAGGTCATATACAAGTCTTATTCCACTTTTGATTGTTGCGTACAATGTGAAAGAGCAGTGTCATTTCATTCTTTAGCATGTGGCTGCCCAGTTTTCCCAAATCCAATTACTGAAGAGATTTCCCATGCTCCATTGTATGCTCTTGGCTCTTTTGTCTTTTGCAATACTATTTACAATCGTTAGTATATGGAAACAACCTAAGTGTCCACTGATAGACAATTAAATCAAGAAGAATTGGTATATACTAACAATGGAATACTATTCAGTCCTAAGTTTATTTCTCAGCTCTCAACTCTGTTCTATTTTTCTGTGTGAGCTTTTATTACAATACTACGCTGTCTGATTATTATCACTCTGTAGTATAGCTTGAAGTCAGAGAGCATAATATCTCCATTTTTGTTTTTTTCTCAAAATTGTTTTTGCTACCTAGGGTCTTTCGTAGTTCCAAATTTCATGATTTTTTTTGTCCTATTTCTGTAAAGACTGATGGTGAAATTTTTATAGAAACTGTATTCAAGCTATACAACCGTTAATTCTTCCGATCTATCAGGATGGACTACCTTTCTATTTCTTTACATTTTTTATTTCTTTCAAAATGTTTACATGGTATTCAGTGTACAGGTAATTTTGTCCAAGCGCCATCCCTTAGGCCCCTTTAATTCTTTCTTCCTCTCTCCTCCTCTTAACCTCAGAAGTTCACTTTGTTAGTGTTTGCTAGTTTTTACAAGTATTCTGCTTTGTCAAATTATTTGCGATGCAAATGTCCAATATTTGTCTTTGTCATTTTGATTGGCTTTACTGTATATAACTCCCTTCCATTTT